TGGGATCAGATCGGGCGAAATTTCCTCAGTGTCTCCAGTGTTGTCCCCTGTAGGGCTATGGGTCAGTGAGGGATGTCTTGTCTCATAGTGGGGCCAGCCATATGGTCTTCTCTGTGGATTGGCTGCTCTGAGTGGGAATATCATCCTCAAGGCTTGGTGGGCCAGGATGTGGTCCACTCTCTCTTCCTCCCCCTTTATTTGCTCCCATGTGCTCTGATCAGACATGTCCCTCTCCCTGAGCTGCAGATTCAGTGCTGTCCTCCAAAATAAATTCTTCTGGGGGGAGGGACAGGTGTCCACGTAGTTGGAATCAGGGCGGGGCCCCTCAGACCTCTCCACTGGTTCCCTACTCCATGCCCACATGTTGCATTCACATCTTGGAGCACCAGGTTGAAGTCTGGTTCCTCTTTCCCTCGTCATCATTTCCTTTTCACTATCTTACAATTGTTCTTATAAAATACACGCTGATATTTCCCATTAAAAAAAATCTCCCTGTACCCACATTTACCTCCAACTACTATTTGATCTTTGTTGCCTGATAATAAATAAGCTCCTCAAAAGAGTTGTCTCTTTCAACCATTTCCACTTGTACAATTCAGTATTACTAATTCTGCTTTCCATGTTGAGCAATCATCACCCTAAAAAAACTAAAGCCATAACTCCCCATTAATCCTTCCCACCCACCCGAGTAACCACTGAGCACAATGTTTTGAAGGTTCATTCATGCCACAACATGTATCAAAACGTCATTTCTCTTTATGACTAAACAATATTTCCTTGTACCTATATAACACATTTATTTATCTATTTGTATGTTGGTTTGTTTTCACAAGGGTCACTTTTTAATGCTCACTTTAATTTATTTATGAGCAATAATTTATTTAGGGGGGTCTACTACTCTTGCCTTCATGAAATACTTTATCCACCTAACTTAAGGAACTTTTCTTTTGGTTCAAGGGCAACGACTCAATAAGTCACCATTGAACTCTTTACTAATTTGTAATTAACCAAAAACCAACCAAACAAACAAAATATCAAATTCCCTGTCACTGAGTTATTCTTCCTTGTAGCGAACAAAGTACAAATGCTCCTTAGAGTTTCCGAGATTGTAAATCTTTACAGGAAAAGAAAACCGTATCGTTCTTTCAATTATTGTTCAGTGAGTTTGAACTCCCAATCTTTTGGTTAGTAGACAACGCTTAACACATTCTAGTGCTCTGAAAAATCAAACAGGCAATTTCTTGCAATTCATGACTTTTACTAGTAAATATTTGTTAAGGAATTTCTTTAAGTCCCCCAAATGTATTATATTATTTTACTCTTAAGAAACAATTCAGGTGATCTAATATGGAAATCCTCATTCTCACCAGATGACATTGCTGCTTCTTCTTCTTCTTGATAACGTTTCTTCTTATTTAGCTGACATGTTATTTAAAGACATATTCCCCAATGAAATATTTTTTTAATAAAAAAGTAGGCTTTAGAAAAAGAGGAACAAACTAGGAGGCAAAAGACATTTATAGAGGTATAATATAGGTATGTACATATGTATATATATTAATATATAATGATAGGGATATAGGCCTATGTACATATATTTATATGTTAAGTTTTAAGGAAGCAGATGGACATTGAACTTCTACTCAAGTACTCCCTCAACACAAGAACACTTTGTTCTAAAAGCCTGGTATTCTGTGATGCTCACTTCCCGATAGGATTGCTGAAGACAAAACGGGTACACAAGCAAATGTGGTGAAGAAAGTTGATGGTGCCTGGCTATTAAAAGATATAGCATCTAGGGTCTTAAAGGATTGAAGTTAAACAAGCAGACAACAACAAAGTGATCATGAGGTGTCAACAGGATCACGTATCAGGCATCAGAAGACCCAAAACAACCATATGAATGTGAATGAGGGATGCCAGAGTGGAGACCCAAAGCCCTTCTGTGGACAATTAGACATTCCCTCACAGAAGGGTCATAAAGAAGGGATGAGTCAGCCAGAGTGCAGTAAAGAACTGACAAAACATACAACATTCCTCTACTTCTTTAATGCCCTTCCCCATCATTATCCCAGTTCTACCTTACAAACCTGGCTAGACCAGAGCATGTACACTGATACAAATAAGAGCTCTGGACACACAGAATCCAGGACAGATAAGCACCCCATGAATAGTAATGGGAGTAGCGATACCATGAAGGAAGGAGGGTGAAGGAGGAGAAAGAGGGAACCAATCACAAGCATCAATGTCCTTCCTCCCACCCCCACCCCCAGGGGGACAAAAAACAGAAACATGGGTGAAGGGAGATAGCAGACAGTGTAAGGTATGAAAAAAAAAATGTATCAAGGTTCATGAGAGGGGCACAGGGGAGAGAGGGAGAAAAGAGGAGCTGATACCAAGGGCTCAAATAGAAAGAAAATGTTTTGAAAATGATGATGGCAACAAATGTACAAAGGTGCTTGACACAATGGATGGATGGATGGATCGTGATAAGAGTAGTCTGAGCCCCCAATAAATGATTTTTAAAAAACAGAATAAACAAATGATTATGGCAACATATGTACAAATGTGCTTGATACAATTTATGTATAGATTGTTATAAGAGCTATAAGAGTCCCCAATAAAATGATTTATTAAAAAAAATTAGGCTTTACAAATAGTTACCTTAAACATAGATTAAACCAATTTAAGTGGGTTTATTTTAAACTTCCCAGTTAGCAAAAGACTCTACAACGAAAATTTCAAAGGTCTGAATTGAGGGCCACAAAGCACAATCTTATTGATCAGCTTAGAACTTCAATGTGGATCAGTTCTTAAGAGGTGGCCATTTTATTGAGGATATTGTGCAGCTGTTGTAAGAAACAATGTCAAGATTTGAATAATACACATAGACAACACTCAAAGTTGAGATATTTTAATTTTGTTACTATGTATATTGAATTGTCATTTTCATATTAATCAAACTTATTTTCTAACTATTAAGAGTAACTGCTGTGGATAACTTGTTTGGCCTGTTATTTATGTTTTATTGTCAGTCAACTTAAATACGATATTCAGCTCCTGGGAAAGAGGCACAGAGATCCATAAAATAATTTTCTGTAACAGATTAGAAAGGAGATAAATTAGAGAAAATAAATCAATGTAAAGAAATTTAGTGTGATTGATCTTCAGCTCAAAATGAATTAATTTATGATTCTATCAAATATGGATTTGATGTATAATGCCCTCATATATAAATATATGTTAGGGTTAATTACAGATGTTAAGCAAAATACAGAACACAAAAATATAAATGTATGGAACTCAAAATCCACTTCTGGTGAGTAGATTCCAAGTTATAGCAACCCTATAGGACAGAGTGGAACTGTTATCCAGTGTTTCTGAGACTGCAAATCTTCATGGGAGCACATAGCTCCATGAAGTGGAGTAAGTGGCTGTGGAGTAAAACTGTTGACCTTTCCATTATGTAACCCATTACCCTATCCGGGTGTAGAAATGTCCTCCAATTATTGTTTTATTCAAGAGATCTTTGTGTCCTACTAACTTTAACTATTTTTTTTTTTTGTTGGTTGGTTGGTTTTTCTTACTCAAGATCAAGCACACATATGCATGAAACCAAATTTGTGAAAGTAATTTCCCAAAGGTGATTTTGTTTCTCTTCACTTGACTTGAACAATCTCTTTTTGTTTATCAGGGAGTTTAGAAAAAACAAGGAGCTCAAAGGGAGAAGAACAGGCAGTTGAGTTTTCTACGATTCCATTTCTTCCTTACTAAAATCTGAATGACAATGTGATATATACAGACATATATAGGCATATATATATGCATATATCTATAATACATACACAATTTCATTACACACACACATACACATACCTCTCAGGAGTAGGTGGTAAGAATCAAAAAGAGAATCACAGTGCTAAAAATGCTTTGGAAATCATAATATCTATCATTAAGTGGGAAATTACCATTATGACTGAAATATTAATAGCTCACTAAAAATTTTCCTCATTCAGAGAGCAAAGCAATCAATTAAAGAGAGGTAAATTTTGGATAAATATATTTTGTTTCAAGAATATTTTTTTTATGAATGATATTACTTTACAAACTTTGGAAGTATTGTTCAACTCTGCATCTCTGCTCTGTATAGCAATAAAAACCATGATATTTTTGGTGTAATAAAGTCTTAGAAACCAAATGAAGTTTTGGGGACTGACATCTCTTTCCTCCTGTGGCAAGGCAGAGGCATCTATTCAGCATGTGATGCAGTTCCCTGTGCATGGGGACCAGGTCCTTTATCTATAGACACGGATCTACAGCACAGTTTCAAGAGCTATGTCTTTCTATCTGGAGGCTTGTATCTATAATACACACACAGTTTCAAACACTTAGTAGGAGATCAATAAATATGTTTGGTTCCCAGATGGTGCAGAGTGAAAGGTCCATGAAATGAACCATCAGGAGTTTCAAAGAAAAGAATCAACTTGGTCAATTATTAAGAGTACATGACTGTGGGAGCCTTTCCCTCCCCGCATGCTGTTTGGTCAACTGCTCAATGAGGGTTCATTATCAGAGAGCCCCCTCCTGAACTAACTTTCAAAATCTTCTTTATTGTTCATTTTACCCACCACTTATCTTTCTTTTATTTGCATGTGCTAACGAATGCACCAGCCTTGCATGCTATTCTTCAAAACCTGTGTATACTTCACTTAGAAATATATGCTTGATAGTCTTCCTTAAACTTCAGAAAAATGTATGTATTGTTTTAGAAATGTGATTTGCTGTCATTTTTTTTAGGAAGCAACATTGAAAGGACATTTGGTTATGAGCACCTGGTATTTAGTAAAGGAACATTTGCTTCTGAAATCAACAGAATTTAAATCTTACCCCATTGGGGAGCATCTGTATTCTGTCAAATGGGATGGAATTCCCATTCACAGTAGTAGCATTGGGCGTCGAAGTCAAACCAATCAGCTGAATGTTTTCATAGGCCTGAGCAACAGCTCCATGGAAGCTATTTTTCATCACAGTTGTTTTCAACTCTCCCTGTTGTAATCAAAGGGGAAAGTGCTTTTAAAGAGATGATGGCAATATACACAAGTAAACAAACTAGCTCTGTTTGGAGAATTTCGAACACTTTAAAGTGCTTTCTTTATTTTTAAGACCCCGTGAAACATATTTTCTTCATAAAATAAACGATTATGTCACAACAAATATTTAATGTTTTAACTTACTTTACTGAATTTATATTCAGCATAGAAATAGTTTCCCTTTTCAATTGAATCTGTAAAAAAAATATTAACATTAGAGAATTGAGGTCAATTTTATATTTTATTGTTTCTTTTTTTTTACAATTTTATTAACATGTAATTCACATATGATAAAATTCAGTAATTCAATCATTTTAAGAAGAGTTCTACACTCATCACCACAATCCATTTTAGAACATTTTCTTCTTTCTTGTACAGTGTCGTTAACTCCACATTTCTGCTCCACCTACCCTTCCCTACACCCAAGAAAGCCTTAATCCAGTTACTGCTTCTATAGATTTTCCTATTCTGGATTTCATATACAGAAAAACATACAAAAACAAACCAAAAAAATCTAGGGACAATTACAAAATTAAACAGAGCAAAACCTCAATAGAAAAGAAAGCAGAAACTATTTAAAACTAGAGCAGATTTGAAATGGGTCCAGTGGGAGGTCAAATGATGAGGTGTAAAGTTTTGCCCTGACTGCCTCTGTGATAGTCCACTTTCCAGTGCACTCTGCAGGACGGCAAGGCCGTCTACATGCCTGGTCTATGGGCAGAAGGGACTCACCAGGGGCTTAATACATATGGATTTCCCCTTCATCTAAAATAATAATAATTCTGGTCAACTAAACTCCAAGTCTGTAAGGTCTTGGAGTATGCTGTGGAATCTTATAAATAATCTACTAATTAATGGATCACAAGTAGTTGATTAATATTGATCACAAACTGTATTCTAAACTACTTTTCCAACCATTTTAAAAATGACCGTGGCATTTGGGGGCAGGAGGAGGGAGACATCTCAGCCTCATAAAGTGGCTCTCATCATGTTACCAGGACCCCACTTTTTCCCGTTTTCTGCCTTTATTTCATATGAAAATGGTTTTCACTTTGATTTAGTGGCGGAGATATAATAAGTGGACAACTTCTTTCCAAATCACTCTAAATCACCCACATACCCAAAGACATCACATCTGTCACCATGTCTGTGACTCCTAATATTCTTATTTTACTCCTTATGTCTACAATTCAAAAATAGTCTCTTTCAAGCTTTGGAGATTTAATCTGAACCTTCTGAAATAATAATTCACTGACTAAAAAAAAAGACTGGAAAAATACATAAAGGAATGGTGGTTGCCATGAAAGTCAAGAGTCGAGGCTTCTATATTCTCCTTTAATTTCTACCACAAAGCAGTCAGTCATATTGCTTACATATAGAGCTAGAACTCTGTCCTCATATTTGACTTCCCATTCTCTTTTTCTGCATTTTAGCTTATTTAGGAAAATTACTGTCCTTTATGGCACTTCTTAACATGTGGCTCCTGATTCCATATTGAGTCATGACACTGAATTTGGAGTGGCAAAAAATTTAGCAACAGCAAAGGTTTCTGAATGCACAACAACCAAGAAAAATCAAATGTGAGTGATTCTGAGGTGTTTCTGGCAGCACTTGCCTCTGTTATATGGTGCGTCTTCACTGCAGACTGGTTGTAAATATACAACATGTGCTTATAGTCACTCCAACACCTTCTCTAGTCAGGACCTCTGCCCAAACTCTAAGCTTGATATTTAACTTCCTAGTTTCCATTTTCTCCCCTTGGCTTCATCACCCATTGCTATCTAGTCAACTCCGACACACAGCAGAGCTTCCAAAACTATTTCACCCGCCACCCCTTTTCATCGGAGACCTTTTTATGTGGCCTCGGGTATCTAGCTTCATAAAATAAGTATGCAAATCAAACACAACTTTTAATGAAATTAATGATCTTGACAAATTTACTAAGGATAATACTATCTAACTCCAGATATATACATATATATATATATATATATATACTATGAGAACCACAATTTAAGAAGCTTTAACTATAGGACTTATGAAAGACAGGCAACAGGCAAGGAACAAAGAATGGTTGTGAGGTTTGGTAATATTATTAACTTCATCAACTAAGTCTTGACCTATTTTCTTGTGCAGAGTTATACAACTTTTTATTTCTATATTACTATCCATCTGTCACTTTGTGGTAGGATTGTAACTTGTGTGTTCATGTGTCTCTGAATCGAGGCTACTTAAATTTCAAGTATAAGCAAGGTCACTCATGGTGGAAGCTTTCAATATAGATTCAAAACTAAGATAGTTAAGGGAAAAGAATGTAGTAATCTATTTCTTAAAAAAAAAAAGGCCAGTGAAAACCTCACTAGTAATGGAATATAATGATATAGTGTCAGTAAATGAGCCCCTGAAATCAAAAGCCATTTGACTCCTTGATGTGGAGTCAGTCTGAAAGACAGGGACAGAATAGTTTTGGAGACCTTCATTTACAGAAGTGGCAAGACCCAAAAGGAGAAGAAACATTTCAAATGTCCATTAATAATTGGAATATGAAATGTATGAAGGACGGATCTATGAAAATTAGGCCCCATCAGAAATGGAACAGAATGATTAAAGATTTATATCATAGTAATTAATGAGGTGAAAGGGAATGGGATTGACCATTTAGAATTAAACTATAGTCTAAATGCTAGGCATTACAAATTGAAGAGAAAGGGTGTCAAAATTATTATAAAAATAAATATTTCAAGATCCTGAAGTACAGTGCTGCTAGTGACGGGATACTAGCCATATGCCTACAAGGAATATCAATGGAGACAACTCAAACTTACACATAAACTACGAATGTAAAATGTGAAGATCGCTCCCATCATTTTTAGTCTGAAATTCATCAAATATGCAATCACAAGTCACTGATAATTTCTGGTAACTGGAATGAGAAAGTCAGAACAAAGGAAAAAGATTGGTATTTGGAAAATAGGGCCTTGAAGACAGACATGACTCAGGAGGATCACCTAATAGAATTTTGCAAGACCAATAACTTACTCACTGCAGATACCGTTATAAAAAATCACAACTTTATATGTGGCCCTCATCAGATAGAATACATGAGAATTAAATTGAATTACTTCTGTGGTCAGAGGTGATGGAGATGCTCAATATCATTAGTCAGAACAAGACCAGGAGCCAACTGTTGACAAAACCATCAATTGCTCAAATGTAAATTCAAGTTGAATCTGAGAAAAATTAGAACAAATTCATGAGGGCCAAATCTCTTCTTGAGATGGAACCTAAATTCAGGTGGGATGTAGTCAAGGTCGTATTTTGGCGCTCGTGAGCTTGTTGACTCCTGGTCTTGTTCTCGTGGATGATACTGAGCTTCAACCTTTCCACTTTGGGTGAACCTAATGGCATTTGAAAAACCAGCGACATAGCTTCCAGCATCACAGCAACAAACAAGCTACTACAGTACAACAAACTGACAATCAGACAAGAACAAGACTCCAGGAACTGATGAAATATCCATTGAAATGTTTCAGAAAGCTGAAGAAGCACTGGAAACACTCACTAATTTATGCCAGGCAATATTTAGAAGACTTCTGTCCCGTCAAATGACTGGAAGTAATCCACATTTGTGTTCATTCCAAAGAATGGTGACCCAATAGAATGCTCATACTGTAGAATGATATATCATTGATATTGCACACAAGTAAAATTTTGCTTAAGATCATCCAAGAATGATTACAGTAGTGCACTGACAGGGAACTGCCAGAAATTCAGGCCAGATTCATAAGAGGACATGGAGCAAGGATATCACTACCGGTGGCAGATATCTTGCCATCAGGATGGGAGGAAGGCTTATTACAACCTGCAGTATGCAGTGACACTACTTTGCTTGCTGAAAGCGAGGAGGAATTGAAGCACTTGCTGATAGAGATCAGAAAGTATAACCTTCAGTATGGATAACAACTCAGTTGAAGGAATACCCAAATCCTCACAACTGGACCAATAGATAACATCATTACCAATGGATAGAAGGTTAAAGTAGTCAAAGATTTTGATCTGGACTGAGCTGGGATGTTTTCTTAATATAAAATTACTCTTTGATATAAAGAGTAATTTACACATATGAGTATTACACATGAGTGCCTCTGTATTTGTTTCTCTAGTAAACCAGACGAACACATTATGGCACCAGTAGTGGCTTCTAGAGAAATAAATCATAGAGATGGAGAGTGGATGCTTGTTTGACCCCTGCCTCAGGGTAGTTTTTCTTCTTCGGCTAGCCAGAGGTCAGATATGGCCATGCAGTTTACTGGGCTGTTTTCTGGAAAGAATATGGGAAGTTAAAGTTTTGATGATTTTGTTTAGTAGTTGTTTTTGGCTACGCCTGTTTGAAATGTTGAAAATGAATGTGACTAATGGATATTTTGATCTCAGGGGAAGAAATTGCCCCTTGAATTTCTCAGAGACCATCGATGCTGCTTAGTGGAAATGGCTGACAGAAAGTCTGGCTCTGGCTTGATTCAGTCAGAGGCCTAAGGCAATAATTTTATCAATGGAATAGTTTAGATAAGGATTAAGATAAGATAGGTAAGGTTTGAACATAACTGTTTTAAAAGTTGAGTTTAGGATCTGACTTACTAGGCTTATACTTTTTTCTTCTGGCTATTGTTATTGATATAATGATAGATAGAAATGATTATTGGGAAGTAAAAATAGAGTGTGTAAGACTACTTGCCTTCAGACATTAAATTGGAATTTAAATGGGTTAGGACACACCTGCAAAGGCTCTAAAAAGATACGTCCCACCAAGTATGTTGGGTGCTCAGGACATTCAAAGGTCTGAAGAGACAGATTGAAGTAAATAAATGAGTCCTTTGGATTTTTGAATTTTGAACTAGTGGTTGAAGTAAATAAATGAATCCTTTGGATTTTTGGATTTTGAACTAGTGGTTTGTATCAGAAGCTGGAAAAAAATTGGAGCATGGAGGGAACTCTCCACTCTAGGACTGAAGTGTTAAAGGGAGCCTGTGGGAAGGCTGAAATGCTTGCTATGCGGCCACCAGGATCCACTTGTTGAGTGGAAGTGAGAGAAATGCAACAATATAGAAACAGGTTGAATCTGACCACTGACACCCGTGAAGCTGATTCACAGGGACTAGAAGAGAAAATGAGACCTAGCACAGGGTCTAGGGTTGTTGAGAATTTGTGAGGGGACCCATGGTCTAAAGGCAAAGCATCCAATGGGCACCCTGGTGAGGGTAAGAGAGGGGGCCCACATTGAGTTGACCAGAACATGGCCAGATGAAGCAAAGATTTTGAGCCTGTGAACTGATGCATATTACTGCTGACTTTATGGGTCGCTTGTCCTGATTTGACTTTGCTATGGATGCAGACTCACAAGGTTCCAACTGGAATGAAGATTCTTCACATTTAAGAATATGATTGTCTCCTGAGACCACTGGGTTGATGTGAGCAGTATAGTAACCGTATACCCAAATGGGGGGATAAAGGCATGAAGTGGTTGGCTTACTAACTTTCATACGTGGGGGAATATATTCATAGGATTATGGTGTAGGTGTTCATATAAGTATAGAATATTTTTGTTTTGTTCACTTATAGTATGTTATGTTTAACCAAGGGTGGCAATATTGAATTGTATGCATTTTAGTTTTATCCTGTTCAGTACAGATATTTTATTATTGTTTGTTTGAAAATTATATATGGCTACAAAGTTGTGTGAAAGTGTCAAGTTGACAAGGAGTGGGCTGTGGTAGTGACATAATCTGTCAACTTGAGACTATTAAGAGTAAAGAGGTGGAGTTCAGCCATGAAAGTGTGGAGATCCTTCCTGCCACTGGATCCACAAGATTTTCCACCCACGGACCTGGGATCTTCCTGCATTTGGCACTATTGCATGATTGCATGAGGCAGAAGAGGAATTTATAGATTGCTATCGGACCTATGGACTAATATCAGACTTATGGACCTGATCTGGACTGGTCTGGGATGTTTTCTTAATATACAATTACTCTTTGATATAAAGTTTTCTATTATACATATATGTCTCTGGATTTGTTTCTCTAGTCAACCCGGACTAACACATTATAGATCCAGTGGCAGTGGAAGCATCTCTGTGTTGGTGTGGGTCTCCATGTGCCTCCTCCAGCTCCAAGGCTCTGATTCCATCAGCACAGCTCCATGTGGCTTGTCAGCATGAAGATGATGCAGAGAGTGTGGGTCTGGCCTCCAGTGAGTTATTTATATCCACAGCACCCCCAAGTGAGGTCATCAAGCTGCGAACTGATTGACAGACTAAACTCCACCCCTTCACTCTTAATAGTCTCAAGTTGACACCAGATTATATAACTACCACAGATTTCATCTTGCTTGAATCTACAATCACGTCTCATGGAAGCAGCCATCAAGAGATCAAAAGACGAGTTGTATTAGGTAAATCTGCTGCATAATACCTCTTTAGAGTACTGAAGAACAAGGATGTCACTTTAAGGACTAAGGTGTCCCCAACCCAAGCTATCATATTTTCCATTGCCTTGGATGCTTATGAAAATGGCACATTGAATCAGGAAGATCGTAGAAGAATCGGTGGATTTGATTTGTGGTACTAGAGAATAAAATTGAAAGTACTATGAACCGCTAAAAGGACAAGTTGATCTGTATTGGAAGAAGTAAGGCCAGCATGCTCCCTGTAGGCAAGGATGGTAAGACTTCATTGTACATATTTGGATATACAGTCAGAAAAGACCAGTCCCTGGAGAAGGGCACCATGTTTGGTAAAGTAGAAGGGCAGCAAACAAGAAGAAGGGTCTCAATGAGATGGGTTGATAAAGTTGCTGCATCGATGGGCTCAGGCACAGGAACAATTGGGAGGATGGTTCAGGACCAGGCAGTATTTCATTCTGTTATGTATCGAGTCACTATGGGCCAGAGCCAACTTAATGGCACCTAACAACAACACGGACAAAATACTGAATGAACAGAACAAAGGGGTGATTTGTGATTTAAAATCAGTAGAGTTTTGCTTCCGGGTTATATCTTTTCACCATCAATATTCAATCGGTATGCTGAGCACATAATCTAAGAAGTTGGACTAAGTGAATAAGAATTTAGTATCAGGATTGGAGAAAGGTTTATTAACAAACTGTTATGCCGATTTCAACAACTTTGCTTGCTAAAAGCAAAAGGGCTTAGAAGCATTACTAATGCAAATTAGAGATCACAGACTTCAGTGTGAATGCCACCGCAAAGTAAACTAAATTCTCACAATTGGAGAGTTTGGCACCATCGTGATAAATAGAGGAAAGATTAATCTTTCAAGGATTTCATTTTACTTGAATCCATAATTAAAGTCTATGGAAGCAGCATTCAAGAAATCAAAGGATATATGAAATTAGGCAAATCTGCTGCACTTGTGATAAAAGCAAAGATTTTCAAGGGATAAAAAAAGCAAAGATTTTGCTTTGAGGACTGATGTGTGCCTGACTCAAGCCATGGAACTTTTAATCACCCCATATGCATGTGAAAGCTGGACAGTGAATAAGGAGCACTAAAGAATAACTTATGCCTTTGAATTATGGTTTGGGTGAAGAAAATGAACACATCTGTCTTAGCAAAGTACAGTCAGGATGCTTCAAAGAATAGCTTGTAGAGAAGATTTCATCTATTTGGGGAACATGCTATCAGGAGGGATCAGACCCTGGAGACAGGCATCATGCTTGGTCATTGAAAAGGGGACGGTCCCTGATGAGACGGATTGACACAACCTCTGCAATATTGGGCTGTAACATAGCAATGATTGTGAGGATGGCCCAAGATCAAGCGTTGTTTCCTTCATTCTGTTGTGCACGGGGTTACGATGAGTTGGAACCAACATCATGTCATCTAATAACAGGAAGAACCTTCCAATACCCCATTCTTCAATCAATTTTTTCAGGACTCCTCAACTCACAGCATTTTGGGAGTTTGTTTGCTGTAGCCTAACAGCCACACCACTGGGGCCAGTGTCTCACAACTTTGTGCTGAAATTTCTTGTCTAGAAGGCTGGGATCTTCATTTCTCCCAAATTAAAAATTAATTAACTAGAAAAAAATAATTTTACCATCCTAACGAAAATAGAGAAACAATTTTTCTTCTTGAGTATCGATCGTATTTGGGTAGCACCTTTCTGGAGCTAATGTTCTCATTTATGTTGCTTAACCCAGGAAAGTGGCCAGATAAAAGAAGTAAAATTTAAAAAACTATCTGGTCCCCAGACAGTGCGTATGGAGAAAGAAGAATGTTGCTGTGGTGTCCAGCACATTTATTTTCTTGTTCTAGGTAATTAATCTTAAAATTTAAGTGAAATAATTCCACAGTCCAGACTATTTTAACAATTGTACTGCTTACCAATAGAGTCTCCATCATCCCAGAAAAGGGAGCCTTGTGCTTCTCCCTTCTTATCTAGAGAAATTATGAGGCCAAAAGGATTCAAGTGGCTATAGGGGGAGAAAAAAAAGAATGAAAATTGACATTGAGTTTCCTTTCATATTAATTTATTTTCAGGGTTGGAAGAGTCTATTTCCAAACAGCTCATATATTTATCCAGAAAAACGTGGTCCTTTCTCAAATAGTTTTGCCAAATGTTTACTTTGTTTGTATTTGAACATCTCAAGTCATAAGAAACTTACAATACCCTTAGCAACCTATTTCCACCTCTGAACAGCTCAATCTGGAAAAAAGAGATAACAATACCAAAGACTTCTCAAAGGCAATTATCAAAATCCTAGCCATTAGAGAGAAAACAAGTAGAATTTTGTGATCAGTAAAGCTACATTAACAGGTAATGGTGATTGTTGAGCTCCATGGTGAGCATAGTTACTGTCACTGAATGGGACACGTGAAGGTAGTAGCAATGGCAAATGTTGTGTTAGGTTTACGACAACAACTACCAAGAAGATGCACCAGGCATGTTGTTGGACCAGGGTTAGTTGAAGGTATACCTCTCAGTTTCTTGCTTACCTACAACAAAGAAAGAGCTACAACAAAATCACCAAAGTTATTGGATCAGGTACTTTAGCAGCTAATTTTAAAGTTGGACCAATGGGATTCCAGGAAAAAATGAAGCTTAAACAATAATTTGCACAGCCAACATTGCCTGGAGCAATATTAAAATTGCGAGAGCAAAAATACTAGAATCGATCTGTCACATTTTTGTGATACCTGAATGGAGGAAAATTTAAAGAATTTGATCCAAAATTTTTCTTGGCAAAAGATTTTTATACAATGAGGAACCAAAATCAAAAAAAGAAATCCACTATCATAGCCACCTTATATAGGTTTCTGTGACTATAAATCTTTACAGGAACAGACAGCCTCATCTTTCTCCTGAAGAGCAGCTGGTAGGTTTGAACAGCTGACTTTGTACTTAGCAGCCCAATGCCTAATCTGCAGAACAAGTTGAATGATAAAACAACTTTGATTTTAGAGTAATAAACTCACACTAAAAATCCTTTAGGGAAATACTTTGGTGACATATAGAGCATATTTTTTTCATACTTACTTTGTATGGAGCTTTTTTCCTAGTGAAATGAAAAGTTAGGCAAGAGATAATCTCTTTTTTCTTGGCAATTAATTAAATAAATGAAATAGAGTAGCACCATAATAAACTAAACTTCAGTATATCTATTATTCAAGTTAGTAGTCACTTAGATATAATGGATCTAGTTCATGAAGGTCCTTTGGCTTCTTTGAATATTTTAAAATGTCTAGCAAACACTTCTATTTCATTCTAATAATTATGTATGTTTAAGTTTCAATTAATGCTGATTAGAATTTTGATTTGCTATTGTGCATCTTTGATGTAAAACAGAAATATGAATAGATTATTATTTTCTTAAAAATATGCTTGTTTCTGCTAATTTAATACTAAACCTATAAATATAGGCACATAGATCTATGTCCCCAACCTCATATAAATATATTTGCATATGTACATGACACGAATTCTACCTTGCAAGTCTGGCTAGACCAGAGGATGTATACTGGTACAGTTAGGAACTGGAAATCCAGGGAATCCAGGGCGGATGATCCCTACAGGACCAGTGGTGTGAGTGGCGATACTGGGAGGGTAGAGGGAGAGTGGGTTGGAAAGAGGGAACCGATTACAAGGAACTATATGTGACCTCCTCCCTGGGGGACGGACAGCAGAAAAGTGGGTGAAGGAAGACGTCGGACAGGGCAAGATATGACAAAATAACAATTTATAAATTATCAAGGGCTCATGAGAGAAGGGGGAGCAGGGAGGGAGAGGAAAAATGAGGACCTAATGCCGGAGGCTTAAGTGGAGAGGAAATTTTTGAGAATGATGAGGGCAATGAATGTACAAATGCGCTTTACACAATTGATGTGTGTATGGATTGTGATAAGAGTTGTATGAGCCCCTAATAAAATGATTAAAGAAAAAAAATGCCCAGTGCTGTACATACATAAGCCAGTAATAAAGGCATTTATTATTAAAAGAAAAAAATATGCTTGTTTGCTGGACAAAATAATTGATCATATAGTATCTAAGGAAACAAATGAATAAATACAACTTAAATGAAAAAAGAAAATGCTTGAGGACCCTGGATTAACCGTTATTTAATATGGATTAAATATTTCATGAATTAGAAATCACTAGCTGTCTTAAAGGAAAAATAGCTTGGAATTGGATCAAATGATAAAACCCAAAGTCATCTACTAACCCCTCTCATTCCCATTTTCTTCTCTTCCTTCTCTCTCTTGTGGTTCTCTCTCTCTCTCACACACATACATATGCACACTGACTCACACGTAATAAGTACACAAACACATACATAAATCATAGACAACTAATTGCACTAAGATTGAATCAATCTACCACTGGCCTCCTACTCACTGTCAGCCCTTCTTTCCAAAAGCCAACCAACTCTCTTGCTGGTTACTTCATGCCAACTCATAGGTACTCTAGATAGGGTTTACAAGGTTGTAAGTCTGTGAGAGCAGACAGCTTCATCTATCTCCTGCAGAGTAGGTGGTGGTTTTGAACTGCCAACCTTGCAGTTGGCTAGGAGTCCAATGATTCCCAGGCAGTGTCACCACAGCTCCTTATGCATCATTCCCCAAGCCAGCCTGTCATAGGAAGATGAACTCACTAATTCAATTTGAAGTCTCCTGATATAATATGCGTGTTACCTCTTCTCCGTTGTTCTGGCTGGAGCCTGTATTGGCAGAATAAATCCTCCACGAATGAACAGAGGAATCACATCCAGAGGAGCGGGAACTTTAACATAGTTCTTCTGCCAAGAATGTGGAATTTTCTCACCCTGGTACAGGACAAGTCAGAGTTTACTGCTCCAATTACACAACTATGAACAGGTTATATGTTACAGAAGACACAGGAAGTAGAATTCCAAGTTTTTGTTTAAATTCATCAGTGCAATCCACTAATAAGACAGTGACTTAAAATGTGTAAGTCTATGTTTGCTGGTTTAAAAAAAAAAGTTTACAAAGAACATTTATCAGTATACACTAGTTTCCAAAGTTTACTTCTATACCTCCACTTACTTACTAAAAAGTCAAACAAGAATTCAAGTTAACATGATGTTGGGCTCCAACATTTTATATAATGGTACTTTTATGTGAGCATTTTTTTAATCATGCATTTTTAAAAAGTTATATTTTATTAAGAATTTAAATTTTACTGAAATATTTATAAAAAACATATAAAGCACTATGAGTAATATAATTTGAAAGCCACTGGTTTAATTGTTTAAGATGTTATAACAATCTGACCACTGAAATGGAGAATTCTTAATGTCACTTTTACAAGTCACAGCTAAGCAAAAATTTAAAATTACACAACAAAGCCCTTCTTCTAAATGTTTATGTTCATAATCAAAATTTATTTCCATAAATAGTTCTTGAAGACTGTGTAAGGTTAGTTAATGTCCATCAAAACATAGTATTTGAAAATGAGGGAAATATATCCAGTAAAATAAAAACCCTACAATAAAGATATCACATTGCTCTCCCTCACATTATAACTCCCTCCCACTCCCTAGACCATAAGAGGAAAGAAAAAAAAAATGGGTGGAAAAGATAAAATGAATAATAATACCATTTTCTTGAAATTTTGAACAATAAAACACGAAGAGAATGTGCCACTTTTCATAGAAGGACAAAGAATATATACAGTGTGATAGGTAGATTTATTGTGCCAATCTGGCCAATAGGAAGAGGTGGGATTAATAAGGTCACAGTTTGATTAGAGGGCAAAGAGATAAATGGCTCAGAAAGCCCCGCCTGTCTCTCTCTTGCTTTCTGGTGATCAGACCAGCGTGCAGTTGCCGTAGCTAGTTCTCTGCCTTAACTTGTGAGCTACACTACCCATGGGACACCCAACCCATGGATCATGTCACTAGAGCTTGAGGTTCAGGATCAAGAACTGCTTCGCCGCACTGCTGGTGTATACATTGCTTGAGCTTGGGACTGTCGGATCCTGTTGTCTGGCTGACTGTTGGTGACCTGCCCTACTGTTTGTTGCCTGTGGCTGGACTGCCTGCAATGCTCTACAGAAGACTCAACTGTCTGCTCCCCTGACCCTGGACACAGCAGCCCTCATGAGTTGAAGGACTCCCAGTACATAAGCTGTTCCACGGAAGTGAGTATAACTGAGCCCTCTGTACTGCTGTGTGGATTAATTAGCTGTTATATTCCTTCATGCTGTATAAATCTCTCTCTATATAAATATATATTATGAATATATATATAAATATATATATAATCATAAGTGTCCTGATTTTGTTTCTCTAGAGAACCCTTTCTAACACATACAAATAGATACATCCTGTTAGGGTCAAAGAGTCCATGACAAGTTGTGACCTTTGGAAGCCAAGTTGTCAGTAAAATAAAAATAGATCCATGGGATGCTAAAACTTTGTAATGGAAGAACACTAGTCTGACATCGTATAAACTAATTGAACTCAGAACTTCTAGCTCCAAGAAAACCTAGAGCTATTTTACCTCCTGCTTTTGGATTTCCATGAAAATTCTCAGTTCATATGTAATGGTTACAATAAACTGCATACTTCAACTCGTTTCAGTGGGGTTTTTCTCTTTTCTTGCAAGGAAAGGAGCATGAACCGAAGATTAAAATTATATTATATTATACTCTGCTATGGAAAAACATTGCTTATGGATATTAATTTACTTTGAAGGATTTATATTTTTATATAAGATAACTAAGTCTACACTATCCCTCAATCACCCTTTTTTTAAAAAAGAAAATTGTGGTTTTATTATAAAATGAGGCATTGAAACATCTGAAAAAATCAATATCTGGTGAGGCAGCTGCTTTTTCCTGCACCTCTTTGAGTTACTAGAGCAAGTTGTCAGTAGATGTCATCAAAGGAGAAAAAAAGGGGGGTGGGGGGCAACCTTTTGCGTAACTTAAGTCTTTCCGAGGCATGCGCTGGTACAATACAAACTTCTCCTGTGATGCAACCAGTCTAGTGTCCAAGCATGCACAGCACCGGGATGGCAGCAGCACACTCAGCCCTTCCCCCTGCAGCAGGGCTCGTGTATGGTGTCGCCGTTTGGAGCCTCTGGAGCAGTGTGAATTGCATAGGGAGAAAGCGGGAGATGGAAACAGCCTGAGTGCCCGACTGGGGTGAGGTCTGCCGAAGTCGGGCAGAGCAAGCCTGACCATGTCGTTGGTGCAAATGCAGGCATCATTGGTGTGCCTTAGGAAGAACAACTGGTGAAAGCCCAGGATGGGGTCTTCGTCAGCCTTCAGCTGGCCCACACCTTGCTGAGGATACAGCTCTCTGGTGTGGGCTGATGGTCCTGTGGCGTCATGCTGTGCTGAATTTTCTAGAACGGAAGGCTAGACACAATATCAGCTTTCCCCTGGAGCTGCTGTCGTTCCCATGTAAGGCATCGCATATATGATGCGTCAATATAATTGCATCCAATTGGGTTCTGTCATTATCAACTAACTGGTAGTAATTGGCTTGTATCCCATTCTGGGGTGTTGCCTGTCCTCGTGGGGACCTACGGGCTGGCATGGTGACAGGAGCTGTGGCAACCAGCGAAGTCTGTGACCAACTCCCCATCAACCATCTTAAATATCTACTCAATTGCCACTGTTTTCAGAAGAACAATTACAAACGTAAGGCATCACAAAGAACCAAGTCTTCAGAATTACATGTCTCAAGGCTCTACAAGCCATAAAAAGAGTAAGAGGGTGCCACTAATCATTGAATAGTTTGTAATATATTTCCCACAAAACATCTAAAATACATACTGTATAGAAGTTGTACCAGAATCCATCAGGAAAATACACCTCCACAGACTTTGCTCCCTTTGGTAAAAATGAAAAGATTTAATTTTTAAGGCATTTTGTTAAATTAAAATATGCCAGTCAAAATACATTATACTCTGCAAATTGGCTGCTATATTATCTAGCATTAAAACCAAGTGCAGCAAAATCAGAGAGTCGGTATGAAGCATTCAAGAACTACCAGAACATATACTCGTATTTCATGACTAAATTATAGAATCTTAATAAACACTACTAAAATAGCCTCGTTGGTTTTGTGTGCAGACAGTCCCTAGGTTACAATGTTCAATTTATGAACAGCTTCTACTTGGTGTTGAACCAATTCAAACTGGTTCTGTATGGCCAACAAGGCAAAAGAGGAACAGACCAGAATTTTTATAATTTCGGTGATTTCTGACCGAAGTCTGAATGGAAACATTTTAAAACCTGGAATGGGAGACTCAGAAGAGGAATAACGAGCCCTTTCAGGAGCCTGATATATGAGATTAGACTACGGCAGCACCCTGGAGAAGTGCACATATGCACAGTGCTGTAGTTACCCACCATCTTCAAGTGGGCACAACCCTCTTTGAGTGGGACAGTGATGTTTCAATTCAAATTATTCCTGCTGTGAAACAATTAAACCAAGGCCTCCTCACCGCAAATTATTTATCACACGCACATGTGCATATGTCACTTTGAAATCATTGAAAGGGGTTTGAGGCTGCACTTGCACTGACCAAAAAACCCACTTCTGCCAAGGCAATCCAACTCAAAGCGACCTCCTGTTGACAGAACACAACTGCCCCATGGAGTTTCCAAGGCTATAAATTTTATGCCAGCAAACTGTTACATCCTTCTCCTGCAGAACGGCTGTGGGTTTAAACCATTGAGCTTTCTATTAAGTTAGCAGCCCAGTGCTTTAATCACTGCGCCACCTAGGTCCCTTGCACTCAAGTAAGGCATCTGTTCTGACCTGTAAATTCCTAAAAACACAAGAGCAGATCTTGTTTGTAACCCAGGGGCGGGGTTATTTCCAAAATACTAATACATGATGCTCAAATGTACACCAACCGTGCAAGTACTGTGTGGCATTTTAAATCCAGGATAACAGTTATATCATTGTGAAAAGCGTCAAATGTTAAAACACTTACCAATATATTTCACAAATATATTTTTGTTTCTTACCAAGTGCAGGGCATTTGTTGAGCACTAAGCATACAAGGGTAAACCAACTGATCATATCCTCGGCCTTAGCAATTGAAAGTCTAGTTACTGAGGCAGAAAATATTCCCACATACACACTTTTCAAAATATACTGACAAAATAGCAGGTTCTTGGACTAGGAATAATACAGAGGAGTCGTACTTAAATAGGATGGTCAGAGAAATTGCAAAGAGGGTAATATTTTAACTAAGATTTGAAAGGGCAAATAAATTAGCCATACAAGATACAAAAGAGGATATCGAAGGAGGGAGGGGAAAAAATAAGGAGCTGATACCAAGGGCTCAAGTAGAAAGAAAATGTTTTGAGAATGATGAGGGCAACAAGCATACAAATATGCTTGACACAATTGATGTATGTATGGATTGTGATGAGAGTTGTACGAGCCCCTGATAAAATGATTTTTTAAAATTTAATTGTGTATGATTTTTATTTACTAGAAGTACTGAAGAAAATCCAGTGCATCTGAAGGTGAGTATGCATGAAGTTCAGGCTAGGACAGGCTGAGGATGCAAACAGGGGACATAGAGCCTTCTAGGTCATGGTAGGTGGCCACAGGAAATCACTGAGAGCCAGATCTGACTTCTCACAAACCTGATGACATTGACCCTAAAGGACAGAGGAGAATTGTCGCCGTAAGGGTTCTAAGGCCACCTCTATCCCGTGGGGCTGTTGGTAGATTCTGATTTAACCTCTGCACCACCAGGGCTTCTCCAATCAGATATTCACTTTTAACATCTCCCTGGGCATGTGAGGAAAGTGAGGGAAAAGTAGGGGTGAGTGGCAGGTGGGATCCTGACAAAGAGGAAAATACTTTTATAAAGAAAAGATGATAAAGGTTTAACCTAACATTAAGCCTGGACTAAATTGGGGAGATTCCATGCATTTTTTCCAGAGGTGAAAAAATGATAGCAGTAGGTGGTTGATAATTAATTAGACTAATAGCAACGTTTACTTAGGTAGAAATTTATAAAGATTAAGAATGGTACATATGCAAAGGTGTTTTAATGAAATTTTAAGTGCTATCCAGATATAAAAGAAACCCTGGTGTCATAGTGCTTATGATTTGGGCTGCTACCTTCAAGGTCAGAAGTTCAAAACCAACAGCGAAAAATGGAGCTTTCTACTCCCATTAACAGTTAGAGTCTTGGGCTCAGAGAGACAGTTCTACCCTGTCCTACAAGTCATGATGAGTTGACATCGACGTGATGGCAGTGAGTTTATCCACATATAAGTACCCAGTGCTAACGCTTTAGATTGAAGTATTAAATTGGTGTTTCCGTGCCTAACCATTTAAGCAAAAGGATGCCCTAAACAAGTAGTTTTTTGAAACAAGGTATTCCCCTAGGGCATAAATTCATTCTTTGACAATAAAATCTTAGGTAAAATACCAATAAACAGCTTTTCCTGTTCCACCTCCATTCCACCCATTTGTTGTTTTTCTTAGTAAGAAGATCTAGTGAGATCAAAAACAATTCAGACATATAGACAAGAGTTGTATTCAAGAATCCTATAAAGATCTACTCAGCTTCTGTGCATGACTGTGATAAAACTAAAGTTAGAGAAATTTGGGATATTAAGCAGGCAACCTTGAAAAAAATTCTTCAGCCTCAGGACTTCTAATTTGGGTCACCAAAGTTTGCATAGGCTTGTTGCCAAATCCTGCTCCGTACATCCATCCTGCTCACCCTCCTTTCCCCTGACTTCTGCCAGATCATATTGATTAATTCCCAACACTTTCAGAGATAAATATGATTAAACAGATATTCAAAGAAGGCCAGAAAAATACATTAGAATCATGAATTTTTTGTTTTATTTAGAAAAAGCTATATGAATCAACTGATGTTCTCCGAATGGGCTTCCTTGCTGTTATATGTGTAATAGGGGAACATGCATTTTTATTTCTATTCTTCTTCATTTGACATATGCTCTTGTGGTGAACATCCTATTTCTACAAAATTATCTTAAGGCTGACTTCAAGTTTATTGAGCAGCAAAAACATATTTAAATTATGTTCATATTTATTTAACATGAAATGTTTTATTTAAGGAAAAATAAGCACATTGTTTTCATCTATAAGAAGGAAAATAATGCAAGAAAATGGGTGAGTCTGGTAAATCTGAAAGAGCCATAAGTGTCACATGGCACCAATATAAACTTTTAAATAACCATATTGTGCAGATACAAAATGTTAGCACTTGCCTCTTCAAGAACTGGAGTAATCATTAAAGCTGGTCCCCAAAGGAATGCTTTGTCAATTCCATGAGTATGAGGATCTGATGGAAATCTACAATGTAGGGTGAAAAAACATTAATTGAATAAAAGTTATATCGTTGTGTAAATATCAAAAATCTTACTCAACTGCTTATTTCTGTGAAATTTGGTTCATGGTGATCAACACCCATGAGACTAACAAATATAGAAACAGAAAGGTTTGAGGTATAAGCAGTCTTTTAAGAATCAAAATTCTTATCATAAGTAAGGCAATTGGGGTCAGCTGTCTCCCTTGAACAAAGAATAAACAGGCATTAAAAAAAACACCTAAGGTCAAAATAGGTCAGCCAAGTTCTATCAATCGCTTCTTATTGTTGCTGGTTCCTTCCCTTTCCGCAGCCTCAACAGTTTCAGGATCCAGCTCCAATTCTGCCTTCTGCACACGGCTGTCTCACTTTCCTTTCCCACAAGCATCATTTTTCTTTCCATTTAGAAGCACTTTATAGGCTATGCCAAATGATCAGGAGGCCAACATGGAGTGTTCTAGGCTGCACTCTGGAGGCTTGTTACTCTCCCACACCCCTGCTGGCAGGGTCCAGGTTTCAGCCTTCTTGTACATTCTACACTATTTGGTAGCTAGACATAGCCTTTAACTTACGTAAATTGGTAGAAAGTGTTTTCTTGATGGGATTCTCTAAAATTGCTTGTACATCATTTGTAATCACATTCAGAAGTAAAAATAAAACCTATTAATTATCTTATATCTCTATCCCCCAATACTTTCCCTCATAGAAGAACCCAGGCTTCCAGGACTCCTGATGTGTCAAACCTAATAAGAACAGAAGAGCTGTTACGTGCTATTTACTCATGCATCAGTCCTCGGACCACTGTGCTTCCTCTGCTGTGAGCATGATAGAAGAGGGTGTATAAGTAAGGCAGTAGTGTGTATCTAATCAATAACGCGGATCGGGAAATTGCAGCAAACTCTTCTCCAAAGACTCCAGGATCTTGTTCCTATTAAAGAGAAGCATTGCAACAGACCGATTACTTGAAGTGCGATGTTATTTTTAGTTTTAACTTCTTTTCTCAGGAGACTTCAGGAGAAGCAGACAATTTCTGAATATTACGTCTCTCTTAGAAGGCCTTCTGCAGTGATGGGTTATTGCAGAGGTAATCATTGGCACTTCTGACAACTGAGAACCACTGAATTGTTTCTAAATTAAATATATACCTTATGAAATTTACAAACCATAATAGGTAGTGTATAATCTATATGCTCAGCTACCAGCAAAGTTTCAAATTATTTTTAGATAAAAGGTCATTACTATCATTTATCCTCCAAAGAGTGAGGCCTGTCCTTGGACTAGGGAATAAAATGAGCACCCTACTTGATTCTGCCTTTACAATGAAGGATCTTATACTAGGTCACATTGGCCAATCATCAAAAGACAAACTTGCAAACTGTTAGATTATTGAACTACTCGCTAATTAAGGAGAGTTGCAAATATAAGAGATTTTAAACAAGGTATTTTTCAATAATACTTATTGGAAAAGTTATTTCTCCAGCATTTATGTGTATTCTCTCTCTCTCTCTCTCTGGGGTTGAACATTTTATTGTGGTTTGAGTGAAGTTTGCAGACCATGCTAGGTCCCCATTCAAGTTATATCTTATCATTCTCATGATGCTCTTGATAAATAATAATGTTTTAAAAAGCCAATAACACTTTTAAAGTATGTAAGGAGATATATGATTATGGCAAATATTTTACGACTATAAATGGATATTGTTTTCTAACCTGATTTAAATTATAGGTTAATATTAAATATAGTAATTATAATTTTCAATAGGCTTTTCCTTACCGTGCTGCCTATGGAATTATGGTTTCTGGAAAAGGGGTAAAATGCCCCAAGTTGCATCCAGCGCAGGCAAAGTTCATAATTTGTATTTTCATTAAAACCACATATATCAGCTCCGATCTGAGAAAATATTTTTGTCTTGATATATTACTGACATATATGACTTACTGCTTTTGTCATAAAACACACCGAAGTATTTCAGGCTACTCTAATTTTGACAAATATATTTAGGACCATGTGGATATAATTTTTATCCTGTGGAATCTAAGTGTGAAAGTGCACTTTGAGAAGTATATTTAAGTATAGTAGTGAGAAGTTCTTCTTGTTCACCTTTGATTGAAAACAAAACAAAACTGTTGGTTGTATTAGAGTATAAGCAAGGAGTCTTCTGGGTAACCCCATATACCTAACCTACCTTTTACCCCAAAGCAGCGCTGTAAGCTGCCCGTCTCCATGTGACAAATTAGACAGATGCCAAACATTCACAAAGCAGTGATCTTACCCAAGAGCTTCAGTGACTGACCACTCAGGCGGGAATAAGGGGGCCTCAGAATAATTATAGTCAACTATGCTCTTGTTTTCATAAGTTTGTTATAAATTAAATTGTATCCTACCACAACATATGTTGGAATTTTAACCATTTCTCTATGGGCATAATCCTATATGGAGAAAGATTTTCCTCTGTTCTGTTAATTATCTTCTCCCTACACACAAGTAATGCATACATGTAAATGATATACCTTCACCAATGATGCGAGACACAGTAAGCTTAGGCCAGTGAGGGGATGGTGGTGGAAAAAATGTATAATACTCGTGCTATCTGAGTAAAACTATAGTGCATTAGACTCAAGTAGGGAAGATTCTAAATCGAATTACTTCTGAGTTATTTTAAGAGTATATTAGATAGAGAGACACACAGGCATACACATAGACATCATGTGAGGATTGCCTATAGGATTGCCAAGAATCTGAGGAATGCTGGGGATTACTAACGTGGAAGGAATTGGCACCGCCCAGGCCCAGCCTTGAACTTTTAACGTCCAGAAAAATGAGAAAGTAAACATCTGTTCTTTACAGCCACCATTTACGATACGTGTTACAGCCGCACCAGGGACTTAAGCCAGTGACATCTAACGCAGATCTCAAATTATTCTATGCCAGAGCCTCCCTTGTCCTCTCAGAAATGTTATCTAACCCTCAAAGCTTGGGTTAACTTTAAAGCTTGCTGGACAAAGAGTCATGAAACAAAGCAGGCATGGAGTCATGAAGCATGCCAATTTTTAGAAAAATGTTAGATAACCGAACCATGAAGGTGGTGATATATATGCTCCTAAATTATAAGACCTCCAGTGGAGAAACATCGGGTCATGCTCCTTTCTTCTATGAAGCCACTTGTGTAAAAAGTTTCTGATCCTGACCCAACTCAAAACTATTTTAATTTGCCAATATTTATTTAGTAATTCTTCTTTGAGTTTAGTTCATCTATCATTTGAACAACAAAAGCAATTCTCACTCAATTTACAGCTTCCAAAATAAGGCAACAATTGCTTTGCATTTCATCTTTTAAAAGGGCATTGGATTATAGGGGATTTGATAAAATTACTGTCTAATTTTTAACATAACAGTAAATGCTTAAAACGTTAAATCAACCCTTTGTCACCAGGGCTCAGGTAAAGAGTTTTTTTCTGTGTGTTTGGAAAATTTTTCAGGTTTAATTTTACTTTGCCAAGACTGTCTGCCCCCACCCACCCCCATGATTCCCACCCACTTTTATTTAGCTCATAGAAAGGGGTTGCAGTAGATTCATGGATAGGGATGAAGTAGAGGTGACAGAGGAAATAAATGCCTGCAGTTTTACTATAACAATAACAAACAGGAAGAGCTATAAAAGTGATAGATTTTTACAACCAACCAGCCAATTTTGATTTAAAAAATTAAAACTCTATTAAAATGAGATACCAGCTTCTGTGTGTTTGTGAAATCTTTACAGGAGCATAAATCCTCATCCTTCTCCTGCAAAAGGCTGGTGGTTTTGAACTGCTGACCTTATGGTTAGCAGCCCACCTTCTAACCCACTAGCCTACCAGGGCTCCATAAAGAACAACTGTCTAGGAAACGGAATGAATGGGGAAGCCAAAAATTGACTGGTTGGCACCTGACAGCAGTAGAAGTGCAGGGTATTTCTACAGCAACTAAATGAATGATATTATTTGCAACGGCTTGAATATAACTGCAGTGCATTTATCTTCAGATTTGGGAACACACAGAGATAATATTGATGCGGATGCTTTCATGAAACTGATGGCTGAATTTTAGAACTTACATATGGAATTCCAAAGAGGTTAAATTCCAGCATGCCAATGATTGACATACGCATGTCTTTCCAACGGGAAAAGTTATCGCCCAGCCAATGGCCAGCGTATTTTCCACTCCCGACAAATGTTGAGCGACTCAAAACAAATGGTCGTTTTCTTGTGGCCTTCTGAGAAGCACTGGGGAGAACATAAGAACACGTTCTTCAATATTATTCTGGAAAAAAAAATTCTTCTCTGCTTAAAAGAAAATTACGGTTTAAAAGTATATCATACTCAATATGAACAGTTTTCCTAGATTTCCCATATTCATACCATCCTAATATTTTATCAAAGCTACAAACCTGCATGAGTATGAAATGAAAGGAATGAGACCAATACAAGCAAGATCACCTTATGTAAATTTTTATACTAATTTGAAGACAAAGTTTAAAAGCCAGTGTTCAGCATGCAAACCACATGTTCTTACATTGAGTTCTTCGTCTGAGTTATACTATCATGAAGGGTTTCTTAATCATGGCCGAATGTTAGCAACTCATAAGAACTTTAGTGAAATAATAATAACATTGCCAAGACTACATCCCAGATCGATTCCATGAGAGTATCTAGGGATGGGATCTGGGCATCAGCTTCCCACCCCACCCCTTCTGTTTCATTTTAGTACGCAATCCTGGTGGTTCTGATATTAATGTGGGAAAGGCCAGTAGTTTCCTTGGAATCATTGATCATATTCCCTCAAACACCAACCTCATTGCCATTGAGCCGATTCTGAAAACTAAATATATAGGAACCTGGCTGCATAGTGGTTATGCATTGGGCTGGTAGCCACCAAAACTTTCTATTTTCATAAAGACTTGGAAACCCACAGGAGCAGTTCTCCGCTGCCCTAGCAGATCACTCTGAGTCGAAATTGATGGCAGTGACTTTGATTTTGACTCTGTATATTTTTAAAAGATTACTTGTAGAGTTTGTCACCACATTCCTTTTTTTCACAGCATTCTTATGCATTGCATACAATTTTGTTTTGCATTGGTTGTTTTTTTATTTGACTTTAGCATGTATATTGAACCATTTAAAAAAACCAAACCTAAAAGTCAACAACAAAACCAGAATGGTCAATGCTATCAAACTGATCTAGTTTGAATTCCATCCACCTCTTCCATGTAAGAGATAC